GTTAAAGTATGTTTTTGAATCACAGGATGATTTAAAGTAGTCTAGGCTAGACGAAGCTGTATACAGAGAGTATTATGAGTTTTATAATAAAAATGTTTGGAAAAATTTCTTTTTATTCATAAAACATATCAATGATAGATATCCTATGTAATGTAAATGATAGATATCCTATGTAATGTAATATTTACATTGAAAATGTTTCATAATATTTGTATTAAACTTGTTTTTTTTTATGCTCAACACAAAATTTAAATTGCAAAAACTATAAAAAGATAAACCACAAAAAGATATGCAAAAAAGATAAGCTACAAGAAGATACCTTTAGAAGATTGATTAAAAGAAGATAAGCCACAAAAAGATATGTTAAGACGAGAAGATACCTTTAGAAGATCTATTTAATCTAATATTTAATCTATAATATTTAAGGTAGATTTGTTGATAATTTGTAAAATTTTAAATTTCTATTAAAATGCATTTACGCAAACTTTTTGTTTTATTATTTTCAACGCTACCATTATGGCGCGCAAAACGTAATATTTTAGCGCCCATTCTGTAAAATTCTAGTATGCGAACACATAGAATTATCGTTTTTGAACCAATAACAAATTAATGCTGCATTGATGACCAGGTTATCAACATGACTTCAGCTTGTCTTAATGCAGTAAATGATGTATTGATTTGACAATGTAAAAGGTACTTCTCCCTTTCCATTACAGAGACACTCAAGCAGGAAACAGCTAGTGCAAGGTTTCACAATATAGATAGTGAAGAGTTATGGTATGTTTAGTGAATCTAAAGGAAGATCCCCTAATGCAACAATTTTATATAATTCTTGCAAAATAATATGAAAAAAGAATAGGACTATTTATTATCTTGAATGTTTAGATTACTAACTAAGTAGAGAAATCGTAATTAATGGTCCATTTTCACAGCACGTAAAGAAAGAAAGAGAAATTGCCTACAACATGCTTAAATTTGATCTGTATTATATAAGAGACAGACATGCAAGCATCAAATGTAAAAAAAGATTGCATGACAGAATTTTTTCTTACTGGTAAAAAGATGAATCTAATTCTGAAGCTGGTGATTATTTCATGAAAAAATTCCAGCTGGCCCCAGATGTCAGGAGAATTTATTTTTTCTTAATGTTAATGTGTATTATTTGTTTTTAATGTTAATATGTATTGTTTTCATAATTGTAAGGTCCAAAATAGATACTGCAAATGTTAGAACTTGAAAAGCCTTAATATTTGAAAAGTATCGCAAGTGTTGTGACTTGCAGATAGGTAACCAGCAAGTGTTGTGACTTGTAAAATTGGTACCGCAAGTGTTGTGACATAAATTATTGATAGCCGGCTCTGGCTTACCTTCTTGTGATGTCTATCGTCAAAAATGAATAATAGTTTGTTTCATTCGTGGAATTTCAAATTGTTTACTAAAAGCCAAGATACTAATTAATTACAATCGGTATTTTGTTTACACTACATTACATAATTTTAAGTATTGTATTTTTAAAACATTTTACATGTATTTTTAGGTTAGATGTTAAAGAATCTAACAGCCTTTCGCCTAAGAATTTAAATACTCTTACACATCTTGTATTAAAAATTAAAGTGTTAAATTTTTTCTTTATTCTTATTTCTTTTAATTTTAATAATATTTTTCAATTTAAAGTTATAAAAAAATTTTAGATTGGAGGGGCACTTTCTCTTTCCTTTGTGAAACTGGATAAACATTTGCTTTTTGTAAAGTGTTTTTTTTGCAAATGTCTGTTTATACTAATTTTTAACGTTGAAAATGTAAACAAATTTTTCTTTTTTTAAATGACAAAAATTGACCAAAAAAAAAATTTGAAGGGGGGCGGGGAGGGTACAGTGGGTGCACGCCCCTCCCCTCAAGTAAAAGTATAGCCTACTAACTAGTTGTATAGTTGTAATGTAGTAAAATATTTTTTTTTTAAGTTGGGGAAGGAGATTGGGGGAGGGGCGGTGCCGCGCGGGCGTACTTCCCTCACCTTGACTCGAGTTATACACCACTAACCACTAGTTGTAAAGTACTGAAATTTAGGTTTTGTTTTTTCTTCTAGATTAATTATTTAATTGGAGATAAAAATATTATTTTTAAAAAAGGAATTATTTTTGTTAATAGCACGTGTAAAACCATTACATCCACTCCAAACTCAAAGTTACACATCTCATACATGGTGGTGATCTAGGAGCAAAATATTGGAACTTCTTTTTAATAAAAAAGACAATTTTCAGTATTAAAATACTTTTTTATGATAGAATATTCAATTTATTGGTGGTAAAAGTCATAGCTGAGGGCCCCCTCTAGCCGCCCACTCACGCCCTATGGCTAGATACTACTATAAAATTTTAGCCCACTCACATCTATCTTTTGACCACAGTTTCTTTAACAATTTCATATATTTAAAAACTGTCACTAAAAACCTCATAACTTTTTTTTGAATTGTTCGGTTTTGATAATTTTTTCACCATTAAAATACTGGCTTAATGCTCTTTTCAACGATATATAACAATATAATATTTTGTAAATAAGTGTTTTAGGGTCTATATTTGCTTTTAAATCCCTAAATTAAAATTAATTTCTTGTAATCCATAAACTCCTCGCAAAACGTTCAAGTTGTATTTACTAAAAAATGGAGATAGCACAAAATAATATTAATGCGAAATTAAAATTTAAAAGTTATTTTTTTAAAAAATTCGAAATTAAAATTTAAAAGTTAAGGGCCCACCCTGTTTGATATAAATATTTTTCACAACAAATAGTTATAATGAGTATATAGTCAAGTATTGAAAAACGCTTGCATTGTTAAAAAATGTATTGCCATTTCTGCTGGATTGCAGTGTAAAACTTCAACTAGTTTTATCTCAGTTTAAACAAATGGAGAGTTAGAAAAAAATAATTCTAACCTGACGATTTGTAAACAAATTTTTATTAAAACTTTCTAAAAGTATAAGTAAGGTTAGACTACAAACAAATGTTACTGAAAATCACAAGTTAAAAACACACTAAAATTTTAACAATTGAACCTAGTAAATTGTCCAGATTAGCTTAAATAGATAATTTTTTCTGTATAAACTAAAACATAGTATGTGTCCCGTGGCACGGGACATTAGACCGTACAACAATTTCATGATGTCCCGTCACGCGGAACATTGGACCACAAAGGGATAATGGTAATATAAAATGATGTTAAATGATCGCCCACTATCTGGTTTTTCTATGTTTGTAGGATCAAAATTTATTTTTATGCGTCCGATTACCAAAAGTAATTTTCTTATGGCTTAAATTTCTACAATAAGTTGTAGTTTATCAGTTTTTTGACAGAAAAGATAAATCTCTTCCGATCATTTAAGGTGCGGGTCTCGAGTAACAGACATTCCGTTTACGAAGTCAACGCCTTATCCAAATAAACTAAACGCGCGTACAAGTAGATACGAATAATACACTTATTTTAAAATTTATTACTCTACTTTCCATATAAAAATAAACTTAATTAAAATTAACTAAATTAATTGACTTATTGCAAAACTAATTAATGAATATTGTATTGTATATATACCAAGCAAGAGCATGTATGCAAAATTTGAAGAAAAGCCAGGGGCAGATCCAGCTTTTATTTTAACTTGAGTTAACTAACCTCCATGCATGGAAGATACTCCAAATATTTATATGTTTATACTTATGTCAAAGAAAGATGCTTAGCAAAAAATTGCGATGATTGAAGCCTGGGAACAAAAAAACCCCAGTATTTTGGCCACAGCTATCTCAAACGTGAGAGCAACAAGTTGACAGAATATTTTTTTTACTATTCTCAACCAAAGTTATATTTATCAATAAATTTTAAATTTCATAGTAATCTCTCAGCGTTCAAAAATTATGACCATATAAAATTTAGATCCCCCTCAATTTGAGGGGGTTACAAATTTTATATTGTCATAACTTTTAAATGTTAAAAGATTATTGAATGAATTTTGAAATCTATCAATGAATACAACCTTAGTTAAGAACTGTAAAAAAAATATTTTGTCAACTTGTTGCTCTCACGTTTAAGGTAATTGTGCCCAAAGTTTTAAAGCTTTTTTGTTCCCAGGCTCGAATCATTGCAATTTTTTGTAAAACATCCTTATTTGGTATAACTATAAACTTATAAATGTTTGGTGTTTGCTCCATGTCAGGAAGATAGTTATCGCAAGCACCAAAAGTTGCTAGATCGGCCCCTGAAACTTATTATCAGGAAGTGACTCCAAAAATGATTGCAAGATTTAATGCTAACAAACAAACAGACAGACGAGGAATTAATAAAAGCATTGGGAAAAATGAAAATCGTCTCTACCATACAAAAATACTTTTTACTAAAACTCAATACACTAAATATTTTTAAATAAAATCTTTATCGTGCTCTTATATTTATGTTTAAACTTGATAAAAAAAACTAATCATATATACACCAAAAGTTTTCAAATAATAACTGTAGTCAATCAAAAACCATTTAGCCACCAAATACTCAATAACAAAGCGAGGACCTAAATTATGACCTAAATATTTTAAACAACGATTTTAAAACACTCTCTTCGCTTAATCGGTTTAAATCAAAACTTTACTTTTTAATAATTTATTTATTTGTTCAATTGCATAAATAATATAAGGTTATGGATCATATACAAAAAACTTCTAAAATACGATGTAGCTAAAACTTTTTAAAAGTCTGTATTTTTTTCCCTCTATATTTGTAAAGAATTAAAAGTTGTTTCCATTCAAGAATTTTCAAACAAAAGTTTTGATTGCGGCTCAGTAAAATGTTTTGTATTGAAAAATTTAGCTTTGAAGTATGCTTTGCAATAAAAACGCTGCTGCGACCAAAAAGAAACAATATAACTATAGTGCCAATAACTGAGAAATAATCGCGTAACAATTTTTGCTGTTCTGAATAAGAGTTTAGAGACTTCGTTACCATTCTTTTTTTACGTAGTTAATCAATCTTTTATATGTTATCTGGAGTTAGAGATTGTTTAGAAATTATTTAAAATAAAACATAGAGATAACTTTTTTAATTAAAATATTTTATTATGCGTGTTGCAATGATGGCTCCATCATCTGTGTTTTACCATTTCAAAAAAAATTAGTTTAATAATTATAGGCAAGTCATGAAACCACAATGTTATTGTTTTGGCTCCTTATTTTTATTTTTAAAATCAAATCTTCAAAAGTGCAAAACATTAATAGTAAGTTTTTTTATTAGAATAATGCACTACTATATTTTATAAATATCAATTATTTAAATAAATTTCAATTTTCTAAAATTTAACAAAATTTTATATTGATTAAAAAAGCAGTTGTGTAAAGTTATTTTGTACTCCTTGTATGTTCTACCTATTTGTCAGTTAAAGTACACTCCTTGCATGTTCTACCAGTTTGGTAAAACATGAGGATTTTTCCTGAGGGGGATTTTTTCCTTTTACCGTTTCGGCCGAAATCTTATAAATTTTTTAAATTACTTGTGTAACTTGTGGGTTTCCCCAAGGTTCAATTTTAGAACCCCTGCTATTCCTAATAAACATCATTGAACTTCATTTTGTATCGAATCTATTGAATTTCATTTACTCCGATCCTTTTTATTCTCATAAAATGTCAAAATTTGATGAAGTTATTGAAAATTTGTCAAATCTTCGAAATTGTTTTCCAAAAAATAAAAACAAAAAAACAAAAAAACAAAAAAAAAGGTGCTTAGTAATAGCACTTTGCTATCTTCTTTTTGCTTTGGCTCTTTTTTATATGTTTATATATTTATATTTTTTATATATATTTATTGTATTTATTATTAGATGGCGAAATGTATGTTAAAAAAAAACACAACAAAAAACAAAATCAAAAACAGCTGTTATCATTTTACATTGTATATTTTAATTAGGAAGAAGCTGTAATGAAATACGACACCAATTTGCGATAAAAGAAATTGGCTTCGAAGATCTTCTTCAAAAAATTAAAACGTGCAGTGAAGGTAATTTAGCACTAAAATACAATATTAAAATCACTTACGATTGTTTGAAACGATGGGTTTATAGAGAAATTTATAGAGAGAAAGAGCTAAAAATACATCCTTTTTAAAAACTTTAATTTAGTAATATAATTAGTGTAAACTTGCTAAAATTTAAAGTTAAGAATTACAGTTAAACTTGTAATAAGTATAGACGTTTAAATGTCTTTACTTAAAATGATACTTGTAATAACTATAGGTATTTATAGGTCATTTTTTATATTTTTATATGTAAAAGTTTGAAGGCGAATGTGGAGAAAGAAAATTCATAGACATTAAGAATACGCTTTAATATTTTCAAATACTTGTTATTTTGAAATGCTAAATTTGTTCAAAAATAAGGGTTTCAAAAATAAATTACTGTAAACTAAATTATTAGTTGAAAAAATAAATTATAAAGTTTACATAATGCTGACAGTACCTTACGAACTCCGTATAAAGATGTATGAGGTGTTTCTTTGGGGGTAAAAACTTTATTTTTGGGTAAATTTATACCTTTTTATAGTTCTAAATTTTCAGTGATAAGCCTTTGAAAATTGCATCACGGATGGAATGTAAGTCAAAAATTAAACTATTTTATTACAATAACACACATAGGCAGATCAGTGTTTATTACAGTGTCTCAGAAGTTTAGTTTCTAAATTAGTGACGTTTCTTTTAAAAAATATTTTAACTTTCCTGACATTTTGCACATTTTATTTGCGTAATGTTTAAAAGACAATCATTTCAAATATAAGTGTCTTTCAAAACACTTAAGGAAATTCTTTTCATGTTTCCATGGTGCAATCATCACTTGCACTACTTTTATCTGGATTGCCACAACTGGATTGCCACAACTTGCCAACAACAGAATTGTCTGTATAATCAAACGCTTGACTATCATTTTTTTTTAAGTTGTTTTCTTTTAGGTGACAGGTCTCGTGGATGGGTTGTAATAGGCTTTGTCATTGAACTTTACACCCATTATAAGATTTCTAAAGTTAAAAAAAAATGCGTCTTTTACATTTTTAAATTAGGCATTTTTGGCCAATATGTCAAATAGTCTACCGCAGCTATTTATAATACTTGTCTTCATATTTTTACTTTGTGTTGATTTAATAACAAATTTATAACTTTGAACAGTTTTGAAGTGTTTACTTTTCTTTGCACAAATTTCTCCAAAAAATATGGTATCGTCATTTTATTCCACAATTGACAGACTTCAATTGAATCAGTAGGAACATTCAAAAAAACATTAACTTGTGTAACCAAGGTTCAATTTTAAAACCCCTGCTATTCCTAATATACACCATTGAACTTAATTTTGTATCTAATCTATTATATATATATATATATATATATATATATATATATATATATATATATATATATATATATATATATATATATATATATATATATATATATATATATATATATATATATATATATATATATATATATATATATATATATATATATATATATATATATATATATATATATATGGGCAATTCCACGAAAGTTACGGTTTTTCTCATTTTCGCATGATAAAAAAAGTATCATTGTAAAATTTTATTTTAACTATGAATTTATTTGCATAATCGGAAGTAATTTAGTGTAAAAATCGAGCTAACATGTTCAAATTGTTGTTAGTCAGATTTTATACTTTATAAAATATATGTATTTAAAGAAAATAACGAAAGAACTTTTGCAATTTTTTTGTAACTTAAATTAACAAAAATATGATAAAGTTTTGTTTTTTCTAAAATTTAGTTAAAAAACTTAAGTTTTTTAATATTATATGTGAAAGAATATTAAATGTTACGTTTTTACATTTAAAGTTTTGAATAACAATGCTTAGTTAAAGCACATTTTTATTTTAAATTTGTGTAACGTAAGTTAAGTGGCATTTTCAGTAATAAGCTCGCCCTCTTTTGGCGAGACTCAAAACCTTTTAGCCTATTTTATTCTTTAGACTAACAGTTTTCATACATAACAGCTAACAGTTTAATTTGCAGTTAAATAGGCAAATATTCTCCAACTATATGAGCCGAAATATCACATTTAAAATTAAAAAAATTCTAATTGGTTAAATAAATAGTATGTCACTGTATATTATGTATTTTCAATTTTATATATAAATTTCATCATACTGTTAAAATTTTATTATATATATATATATATATATATATATATATATATATATATATATATATATATATATATATATATATATATATATATATATATATATATATATATATATATATATATATATATATATATATATATATATATATGCATATATATAAAGAAGAGATAAGTGCCCTTTTATTTCCCGATTAATTAAATAAAGTTGATTTGGCTAAAAAAACATTTGAGCTCAATAATAATCTACTTAGAGAGGTATAGCTACTTTTTTCATATGATAGATCAAGGTAAGTGAAAGAAATAACGTCAACCAGGATAATTTCGGAATGCAGTGTAACTCTAAAGCAGATAATAGTAAAGACATGAATACTTGTTAAGCTACAGTTAAGCATAAAGTTAAAAAATACATAACCTTATATAACCATATTAACAACCCCAGTTTAAAAAAGGTTGGAAGGCAAACAATTATAAGCAAAGCAGATAAAGTACTCATTGTACAAATGCTAGAAGCAGTTGCTGATCGGCGTTTCCCTATTGGAAGATTATAAGTTAAAATAATGGCTTTTGATTTCCTCAAAAATTTGAAATAGTTTAAACTTTTTCAAAGTAAAGATACCTGAAGTTGACTGGTTAAATTCTTTCATGAAACAAAACCATTTTTCTGGAAGAAATGCTTAGAAGTTGAATTTATAACTATTTTTTAGATGAGTTTAAAAAACTAATGAACCACCTGGTAATATTTCACCTTCAAACATATGTAATTTTGATGAGACAAATCTTTCATTAATCCTGAAAAGAATTTTGTTTAGTTAGAAAATGAAGACGGTGTGTAGAAAATGTTCGAGAACTTTGATATGGCATGGGGTGCACAAACAGTAAAACTTAGTAATAGTAATATCTATTGTGTGATGTGGCTCTTCTTCCAGAGTGTTAAAACCACATATGGTGTTTAAAGACCATTGAATGTTTATAAGGTTGGATGACAAGAGAGCCCTATAGAACAACCTACAGTTGCACAAAATCAGGTTGGTTTGATATGCAAACGTTTGAAAAGTGGTTTAAATTGTGTTTTTTGCAAAACTTTTAACATTTGAATGGACCTAAACTTCTTTTAGGAGAAAGAAGAGCCTTCTATTTTATTACAGACATTATTAAGTTAGCAAAGGATCATAATTTTTATGTGTTATGTTGCCACCTAATGCCACTCATTTAATGCAGCCATTAGATGTATCTGTCTACGGTCCTATAAAGTGATGTTGGAAACATGTACTAAGCAAGTGAAGGAAACAAAGCAGGAAATGGATATTTTCCCATAGAACATTTTTTGAAGACAATGTATGTCAGAAATAAAAATCTGGATTTCGTTCATCTGGATTATATCCAACAAACCGTAGAAAGGTTTAAAAAAAAATTCATTAGTACCACGCAGCTGGTGTATTGACATATTAAACGATTAAGTTACAACTTTGTTAATGTTCCACCGTGGTGTACACGAAACGAAAAACCCCAGGCACAATAAGTTGAATACTGCATTAGAGGCATTTTTAAATGTCGTTAGAAATATTGAAGTTAATCTTTTGTTTTGCTTGTGGAAAAGAAGATGATTAAACTATTAAAATCAGTGAAGTAGAAGAAGAGGAAGTTTTAGTCAATTGGATTGGCTGTGAATATTTTAAGTTATACCAACGACCGTTGGTATAACTCAAAATATTTCGAAAATGCTACGTCCGCTGATTGCATTGTATGCCCAAAACAATAGTTCACCTTGTGTGTTTTTAAAAATATATATATTTTTTGCATTATTTACTTTACAGTATCCAGTATCTAATTTTTGTTGTTGTTGCAATTTGGCATAAAAACTTTTTTTTAATGAAACAACTTTTCGCCATAAAAATATACAAGTTAAATTCCCTGATGTTGAAAATTCAACTTTTAAAAACTTAAATTTTAAGTGTCCATTTTCCAAATTTTATTTTTTGATGTTTAGACCGTTTGTTTAAGGTAATAACATGTTTGGAAGCCAAAAATAAAAATGGTTATATATTTTATATAAATAGAGTGGTACGATCCACACAAAAATTTAACTTTTGTATTGATTTTATGGTGGTACCCAAAAATATTTTAAAAATTCATTGGAACTATAGTAAACTTTTTTATGCTTAAAAAAATTTTTTAAGCATAAATATATCATTAAAATTTAAAAAAGAAATATTTTATTACTTTAAATTTTTTGCTTCGATCACTCAATTAAAAACTATAAACAAGCACTAATATTTTAATTTATTTATGTAATATTTCAGTCTGAATAGTTCAGACCGTCATCAGACGTAAAATTAAATACAATAAAAATCTCACAAAAAAACGTATGTAAAAAACCGTTATAGAAGACATTACAAAGTCTAACTACCATGAAAGGAAAATAAGAGAGTCACTTGAAATTAATTATGCCCAAACAAATTACGAAATAAGACACTTCCCACCGCTTTTGAACAAAGACAACGGTGTTAAAATTGCGTCAAATAGCTGGCGACCTCTTTTTAAAAAAATCATAGAAATTTCAAAATAGTTGTTTACGTTACGTCAGCTCATCTTTGTAATGTCTTCTATAAAGGTTTTTTACATACGTTTTTTTGTGAGATTTTTATTGTATTTAATTTTACGTCTGATGACGGTCTGAACTATTCAGACTGAAATATTACATAAATAAATTAAAATATTAGTACTTAGCTGTATTGTATGTGTTATAAATTAAATAAATAAATTATCAAGTACTACAAGAAATGTCATTAAAACAATATAAACAAGCAGATTTTTGTGAAATGAATACTCAAAATTTACCAGGGATTTTAACATGAAATTTGTAACATATTATAAACAAAGAGAAAATAAATGAAAATAAAAGAATATTTTAAAAATGGTGCATAAAAAAATAACAAACTCTTAAAACAGTCAAACAAGATTAATATGAAAAATTTCAAGAGCTAAAATGAGTTTAACAAAAACCTTCTCTAAAATAAATTTTGTTACTATGAAAATCGAAATGTCAAAATTTCAGCTCTTTTGCTTATTTTTTAAATAAAAAAGTGTGCGAAACGGTTATTTTATAAAATTTTTATAAAGTAACCGATTCGCACACTATTTGCAAATGTTTTGTTTATATATCGGTTGCTATAGCGTTGTTACGAAAAAAAAAACTGATTTGGTAGACATAATGCAAAAGTATTAAAACTTAATTTTAAATGATAAATTAAAATTTTTTTTAATCTGTGAACAAAAGAATAATAATCCAAATTTTTTAATTTTTTTTTTCAAAATTGACTTTTGTTACTTGGGGTGCTACGTTAAAGAAACAGTTGAATATATTCTTCAAAAATTGTCCGGAGTATCCCCGGTTGACGGTAGTTTCATTTATATAAAAAAATTATTTCCTCAAGTTCTTAAATAAAGTGGTGTAAATTTAAATTTTTTAAATGTATACTTTGGGGAAAAAAAATTGTCAAATGTAACTTTACGTGGCCGTTAAAAATAGTCTAGTTTAATATAATATAACTTCCCAAATATATAACTTCCCAAATAATATAACTTCCCAAAAATAAAATAAAAAGTGCATTTATATCATTTATAAAATTTTTAAATTTCTCTCCAGTCGGCGTGACGTCACTCCATATTAAAGAGTAGTTTTAAAATTAACCATCTTAAATTGGGGGAAAACAAACTAAAAAATCAATTGCGGTTTGTTGATTTAATTTTTTTTTTTAGAATGCTAAAAAGTTGTTGGGCATTAGGTTGCACTAACAAAATAAAATAAAAAAAATCAAGAACATGAAAAATATGAAAAATAAAGTCTTCCTAAAGATGAAGTATTTCGAAGAGAGTGGTTGAATCGTACTATGGATGATATTGCATTTAGCAAGCAATGGTCTCCTAAATCCTCTATATTAATGTTTATTCGACACACTTTATTACCGGTGGGTTACTTTTAATTTACATCTTAATTTAGTATTGGTAAATAAATATCGAAATATCAGCATTTCTTATTCCCTCAAATAACCAAAATAATACGTAGACAGCAATATAAGTCATCATTTTATTGAAACAGAGAATTAAAATATGTAAAAATAAAGTAAAATTACCTAAAAGATGTATGTTTTGCAGACATCTTTCCGCTGTTTCTTTTAATTAACTTTTTAAGTAACGTTGAATAACTTTTTCTTGACTTTGCGTATAAAAAAAAAAGTTTGTTTCCCCCTATTTGAATATGGTTACTTTTGATTTCGTGATATAGTCACGCGATTTCGACTAGATAGATAAAACATTATTTTGATCTTTAATCTATAAAACTCGATTTTATTTTTTTCCGTAGATCTTTTTTACTTTTTACAATAGATAGCGTGCGCGCCTATTGTAATAATAGTACAAATGCAATATTAAGTTGGTTTTTTAATTTTATTATTATCTTTTTTCTATTTCCCAGGTAAAAACTTTGTGCAAAACATAGACAACACAAGCCAGTTAAGAAAGAGAACACAACTTCCATTATCAACTTTAGATTATGAGATAACTTATACTGACTATTTAGTACCAATAATAAAAACAGATCAACCACTTTTAGCAAAAAAAATCTTAAACTCAAGGGAAAACGAAAAAAATTATTTAGAGCCAAATAACCAAAAATTAGCAGTTAACTTAGTAGATGATTCCTCTAACTTGTTGATGCCATTTAAAAGTAATCTTATTGCACAACGCATCATAGTTCCAACTTTAAAACCTATTCGGAAAAATATTTTTTTGCCAACATTTCGCCAATACATCACTCGTTCACTATTAACACCGCAAAAATACATAAGATTAAATGACATTGAGCAAACCAGTTCAGCTGCTAAGAAGTCTACTAGATATCTTAATACGCTCGACTCAAAAAGTCTACCGGTAGAACCCAATAATTTGGAAAAGCAAGCTAAAGAAGCTTATGAACAAATTCAACGCGTACTTGAAGAAAATCCAAATTTAACATTGCCGCCTCCTGTAAGTTTAAGTTTGAAACCTACAAGAAAGAGCCATACAATAAACCTCTCATGGGGTTTATCATATTTAAAACATAAACCAACAACACCTTCGCAAGTTTTTTTTCCTACTACTTTAGAAGTTGTTAAAGGAATTTTCACGTACCGCCCATCGCCAACAGATTTATCTTTTCATACTGATAACAACGTTTATACAAAAAAAAGTTTATGGCACCTTGGAAGTTACTCAAATAATCTTATAACAACAAACAGCCCTATTGACAACTCTCAGATAGATCAATCAGTGTCGTGGAAAGATTATTTTCAGTTTGAAAACATATTAAAACAAATGGGATACGATAAGAAAAATACCCAAGTATTAGATGACGATAAACTAAACAGTCAAGAATTCAATAACCAAAACCTTAATGATCAAGAACTCAATAATCAATACCTAGATAACCAAAATGTAAACATTCAAGAGCCAAAAAATGAAAATCTAATCATTCAAAAACTAAGTAACCAAGAATTAGACAACCAAGATATTGATACTTTAAACAAACAAAGTACAAATTTTAACAATTTTAAATTGATTAAATCAAATAATGCTGATAAAAGAACAAAAGTTAAATCCTTAATAAATCCTTATTTAACTGTAAAATCGCAATATAGCTCTCCAGTTAGCGTATCTTATAGCTTTAAAAAACTCGCAAGGCCATCTTTATCATTGTATCCAGAATTTGTATCCTCTATTAATTCTAAAATTACAGCAAACAAAGTCGATTCTTTAATACACGACGATTTAAGCGATGAAGTTTCGCAAATTAAAAAAAAAAATCCGTATTATTCTCAAATACTACTTTCTAATATAATTCCAACGAATAGTTTTAAAGGTGTTTTAACTAGATCACATATCACAGACGAACATGATACAACAGCAGGAAAAAAAAATATTTCAAACGCGGATATTAAAATTATTCCTGTGAGAGATGACAACATAGAAAACAAGTTCACTAACTTTGATTTTTTAAAAGTTTCTAACCAATCAAAAAACATAAAAGTGCAAATGAAAAATAATGCAACGGTTGAATCACTTTCTAACCGTAACCAAACTCAAAATCTTTTTTATTATAACAAGAACATGAGATATATTGTTACGACTAAAAGCAGAAATAAAAATCCATCCATTTTTTCCACAAATAATCGCAAAGCTGTTGTATCAACATCCAACAAAAATAATGAAACAATTCGCAACTTGACAAAGAGTTACAATAATGACAAAAACAATGAAATCATTAAAACTAAGTACAATTTTACTCAAAAAATTTTATTCAATGACTTTAAAAATGTTGATAATAATAATCCCCCTAAAAAAGAAGAAAGTGTTAATTTGTTCCATGTAGATAACGAAAAAAAATCCGGTAACAACTCGAAAGAAAAGCAAGGTCATTTAAAAAATGATTATTCACAAAGATATCTAAAAAACGCTAACTCATCAGCACATTTTGCCAAAAAGTCATTATATTCTAACATAACGCCTCCATATTTTAACATAAAACCGATGGAAAGAGGGTTTAATAGAAAAAAAACTAAAAATAATGAAATTAAAAAAAAACAATTTTACGACCAAATGATGCAAGAAAATGATGAAGATTTTAACGAACAAGATCATTACGATATAAAAAATGCATTCGAAATACAAATTAACGAAAACAAACAAGACAATAATAAACAATACTCTAATGACTTCATTAATACAAACTCTGTAAAAGATCTACTTGATATCAAGTACGCACAAATCGAAAATAAATTAGTTAACGACTTAAAATTGAGACAGGCCGTATTACAAAAACTTGAGCAAGATTCAATAATACTCGAACAGGAAGAACATAAAAAGGAAAAATTGCTTAAAGAATCTTATGGAAAACCGGTGAGTTTATCAACACTTAATGAGATATTTAGAGAAATCAACGAAGAAACAAATAAAATGTCGAATGAGTCAAAACTTGTACATGACCGAACGCAGATATTTCAGGAAAATAATTTAATTTTACTTGAACCAATAAAAGAAGAATTAAACGACCGAGTTAAAAAAGTTTTGTCTCCTACCAGCAAAAGAAACACAATTGAAAAGTTAGAACCATCGAGACTCGAAAAAAAATCTCACTTTACAGTAAATCGTTCTAAATACGAATCTACTTCTGTCGAAGTTAAAACCGATAATAAATGCACACAAAAAGAAAATCAGAAAGTAAAGCTTCAAAATAAAAACAACTATAATCATCAAAACAAGACGGAACTTTTTTTTGAAAAACTTCTTAAATCATGCACGTTAAAAATAAATAATAGGAGAAATTCAAAAGACGTTTTGAGAAAGCTGTTGACAAGCGTTTATTTGCCAGGTCGTAGCACAATTAAAAAATCTAAGTTTTTTAAAAAAAAATCATTTGATTTGCTGTCTAAAGATTATAATTCTATAAAAAATAAGGATGCGTTTACAAATCAGTCAAACAATGACAATCAACTTTTTAAAAAGAATATGATGCACGAAAGTTTTCAAAACCGCCATAAAATTCTGCAAGACTTTTTTTCGTTATCCCATTCAAATGTTTCTATTAATAACCGTTTAAATGAAAATAAAAGACTCTTGAAAAATTTTAGTAATGTCTTGAATATATTTTACAAACGTAAACCTAACTTTTTTAGAAATAGTGCTGCCAAAGGTTTTGCCAGATTTCTCAAAGAAAAAGAAAGTAATTGTAAAAGTGGCATGAAAAAAGACACTGAAATACACAAAAAACTAAAAAGTAAACATCCTCAGCTAACTCTTGATGTTCAAAAAAATAAACAGCGAACGTTTAAACAAAGACAAAAGCACAAAGCTACAAACAAAAAAACTTTTTTTAATCTTTTAAGGTTAGAGTTTGGTGTACATAATGGAAATTCAGCTAAACTCTGAGTTCGCTGAGATGATAACCAGTTAGCTGCTCTTTCGTTAATTGACGTATTTGTTAACTAAAAATTATCGGGTTTTATCCAGAACAAAATGTTTCCTCAATTTTATACACATTTTTGAAACGTATGCGCTAAAGAACTTCTAACACTACCTAAGAAATTGGCACAGAAGGTTTTATATATGTATATAATATACAGACAAAAAAAGCTGCGATAAATTTCATAACAAGAAACATTATTAGCATAAACAACACAAAAATGTACAAATGAAAGAAACAATTAGTCCAATTGGATTAATTTAAACAATTAAAACACTTTGTTACATAATGACCCATTTAACTCAATGTCCTTAACTGGAAAACTATTTTGTAAATACTTTTCAAAACTTTTTTGAAGCTTTCGAAAGGGCTATGAAATGCTCTAGGTGGTGTTGTACCGCCTATTATATATTATATAATAAAAAACCACTTTAAAACACATCTTTTTGAGTAACGGTTTGTATTTATTACAACGTGAAATTTACCTATAAACTATTTTATTTATAAACAGTAAAAAATGTACTTAAAAAAAAGAGAGAGACAAAAAGTAGATTTAAATATAAAATTTTACTGCCGGAATATCTTCTATTGACCTCAAAGGATTTTACAAATCAAGTAAAATGAGCAAAGATTAATACAAAATAATAATAATAGCTAATAATAACTATTATTAGCTATTATTATTAATATATATATATAATATATATATATATATATATATATATATATATACATATATATATATATATATATATATATATATATATATATATATATATATATATATATATATATATATATATATATATATATATATATATATATATATATATATATATATATATATATTCATTTTCACTACTCAGCAGTTTTATTAATTGTTAATTAATAAAACTGCTGAGTAAACTCTGCAGTTTTATTAGTTTAAATATCATTTTATTCAACCACACTTAAAATAATACTGATGACAGCTCTTGCTCCAACTAGTCAATAAAAAGTTTCTAAATCATCACGTGTAACAAACTTTGTAGCTGAACTGCACTTAAACTAGCATTAGAAAAAGGTATTTTAACAATACCTAGTCATAAATTCGGAAAAACACGTAAAAAGTTAGTAAACACACCAGCTAATATAGCAGTTTAGCTGGTCTTACATTATAGGGCTATTTTAACATTAGAAAGTGTAGTCTTGTGTTCATTAAAAGAAAAACCAAGAATCAAGAAATAAAAAAATGGTTTTGGAACAAAAATGATTCATTACATTGTAATAACATTGGTTACATTAACGTTATTTTTTATCTGAATTACAACGTTATATTAACTTTAGTTCACAAACGCTGTTTTTATTTTGTTTGCTTTTTCACCTTCACCACAATTTATATATCCTTACATATACAATAAAATAAACAGTTGAAGCAAGAAGACGACATGATGTCTTATCACCAAGCCCCATTTTTATAAAATCTTGGTTTTCAAGTATCTTTTTATCAGGTTAATTTTTATCAGAATTACAACTTTATTACTTTACTTACCCTTAGCCAAAAAGTCCTATCTATAGGACATAAGTAGGATCTATAGAATTTTGGAACAAAAAAAAGAAGATAAAACTTTGATAAATATAAACACTTTTAACTTATGCTACACTAACGTAATTTTTTATAGAAGTTACAACGCTATCATAGCTTTACTTAGAATATTTTTAATAAATATTCAACTTTTTTTTGACAAAAATTTCGTCTACGATTCGGTAGGGTAAATATTTATCTGATTAATTATAATTAACGGTTTTAACTTTCCACCAAAACAAAGTGAATTTTATTATATTGAAATTTTTTTTTATAAAATATTACTATATATTAGTAAATATTTCCTTAATCAGTATGAGTGTATAGCAGAAAGGTTGCGGAAAGTTGCGAGGCGAAAAGCGCGATATATTACGCAGCGTGTAATCAGGGTTCGATTCCCGATTACTGCCAACTTTCACTTATAAAACACTGTGCTTTTACATTGAAACTATCGTGATGATTAAGGTTGATTAAGGTTGGAAGATATAACTTTACAACATTGGAGAATCAAACGTTGGAAAATTTAACATTATCTTTCTTTTCCAACGTTAATCCAAAGTTATTCTAATCTAAATAGTAACGTTATCTAACGCTGTTCCAACTTTGGTGTACCCACTGGGTTATTACTTCTAAAAAATGCTTCACTTTGATGAACTCACTAGTAAAGGGTGAGGATTGGTATATTGAAATCGGGAAGCATTGATACAAGATTTTGAACATCTGTTCTGTAGATTTACATAAAACTGTAATTTAAATATAATTACTAAAGATTATAGTTAATTAATTTTTTTTCTCTCAAAAAATTTCATGTAATTACCCCAACTAACACAAAACTTTCGAGCAAGTTCTATAAACGTTCTGTAAAAGTTCTAGAAAATTGTGTATACACAATTACCTGCTAAGGTTCAAGAAAAATTGCTATAAAAATTGTGAAGATTCGCGTAACGTTCGCTGCAAACGAAATAAACGTTTATTGAACGTTAATTGTTTGCTGGCGTAAAAATTTATTATTTGCGATAATAATTTTGTTTCATATAAATATTGGTAATTATAATTATGAACTTGATACTATGTCTCTGCGCGTTTATTTTAGTGCCAATTAGCTCCTTGTTTCTAATCTCTTTGTAATCTAAATTTCATACCGAAAATTTTGCCATAGTCGCATAAAGAAAGTCCCGAAAAGTTCTTTGCTACAAGTTGAAATTTCATATTTTAGATGTTTAGCATACATATTAAGTTAGAACTTAGTCTAAAAAAGTAAAACTATTTCCTAATATTTCTCAATAATACCTATAATTGAGCCTATGATACTAAAATAACAGTTGACTAGTTTTTGTTTGTTTGAATATTTAATTTTTCTAACTAGATTAAAACTAATCGAAAACTACCTTTTGATACACAGTCGCATTACTAATAAGATGCCATCTATATTTTTCAAATGGTTTGTCTCGAAGCCAATCTACAAGGTTATGTAGTATAATAGCACATCCACCTGAAATATCATATGCCCCATAGAAAAACTGAAAACGAAAACGCGCTTTTGAGTTATTGCACTTCGAAGTGTATCAAGTACGTCCAAAATATTCAAGTACATAAAAAGCATATTAAAAAAGCAACAAGATTCGTAAAACGGTTTTTAAAAAATATACTATAAACGAAGTTAACATGAAATGGTAAATGTTAAACATTACACATGGGGATGTGATATTTTAGATGCCAAATACTAATAGTTTGCAATGTTTTGCAAATGACTTAGGGGATGTAATATTCTAGAAGTCTGTATAAGGGGGGGGGGGGGGATGATATGATATTTTTATATAAGAATTTTAGCTTCTTTTTGCAATATATCCCTTCAGGTAATTGTTTTTAAAATTTGCGTTCTAAATGTCTTTTAAATGTCTTTAAGTAAGAATGTTTAGAAGACGTTTAAAAGACATTTAAAATACATTTAGAACGTAACTTTTAAAAACAAATGCCCGCTGGGATATAAGAGATTACACAAGAAGGATGTAATATTCTAGATACCAAATATCATTAGTTTGCAGTATTTTATAAATTACTCAGGGGTATGTAACACTCTAGAAGCCTAAGTTATTAGGAATGTGATATTTTAAGTTAGAATTTCAGATTCTTGTTGTGACATATATAGAGGTTACGCATTGGGGATGTGATATTATAGATTCTAAATATTAATAGTTTGCAGCATTTCAAAAATTACTTAGGACATGTAATATTCTAGAAGTCTGAATAAGGGGGATGCAAAATTTTAAGTATGAATTTCAGCTTTTTATTGTGATATATAGAGCAAAATGGGCTAGTTTTGTCAATCAATTGCATTCACTCAGTTTTTGCACACAATTGATCTCTACTTTTGCACACAATTGATCTTTACTTTTGCACACAATTGATCTTCACTTTTGCACACAATTGATCTTTACTTTTGCACACAATTGATCTTTACTTTTGCACACAATTGATCTTTACTTTTGCACACAATTGATCTCTACTTTTGCACACAATTGATCTTTACTTTTGCACACAATTGATCTTTACTTTTGCACACAATTGATCTTTACTTTTGCACACAATTGATCTCTACTTTTGCACACAATTGATCTTTACTTTTGCACACAATTGATCTTTACTTTTGCACACAATTGATCTCTACTTTTGCACACAATTGATCTTTACTTTTGCACACAATTGATCTTTACTTTTGCACACAATTGATCTTTACTTTTGCACACAATTGATCTTTACTTTTGCACACAATTGATCTTTACTTTTGCACACAATTGATCTTTACTTTTGCACACAATTGATCTTTACTTTTGCACACAATTGATCTCTACTTTTGCACACAATTGATCTCTACTTTTGCACACAATTGATCTTTACTTTTGCACACAATTGATCTTTACTTTTGCACACAATTGATCTTTACTTTTGCACACAATTGATCTTTACTTTTGCACACAATTGATCTTTACTTTTGCACACAATTGATCTTTACTTTTGCACACAATTGATCTTTACTTTTGCACACAATTGATCTCTACTTTTGCACACAATTGATCTTTACTTTTGCACACAATTGATCTTTACTTTTGCACACAATTGATCTTTACTTTTGCACACAATTGATCTTTACTTTTGCACACAATTGATCTTTACTTTTGCACACAATTGATCTCTACTTTTGCACACAATTGATCTTTACTTTTGCACACAATTGATCTTTACTTTTGCACACAATTGATCTTTACTTTTGCACACAATTGATCTCTACTTTTGCACACAATTGATCTTTACTTTTGCACACAATTGATCTTTACTTTTGCACACAATTGATCTCTACTTTTGCACACAATTGATCTTTACTTTTGCACACAATTGATCTTTACTTTTGCACACAATTGATCTTTACTTTTGCACACAATTGATCTTTACTTTTGCACACAATTGATCTTTACTTTTGCACACAATTGATCTTTACTTTTGCACACAATTGATCTCTACTTTTAACTAAAACTTTAACTTTACTCAGAAATTTTTTTTTATGATTTAAACTTTTATTAGAAGAAAAACAAATTTTTTATCAATTATATCAAAAAAATACTTATTTTTTTGAAAACTTGATAAGAAAATTAATTTACAAAAGCAATCTTCAAAAAATCATTTAAAATGCTATTTAAATTCTAATTATTTATTTCCTTCAAAAATTAAAAAGACAAAAATGTAGGAACTTTTTGAAAAAATCTATGTTGCTTTTTCCTTTTCAATTTTGATTGGTTCGAAAGTTATTCCGGAAATACTAAATGGGGGACTTTCGCCACCTATTTATGTAAAATGAAGACGCGCTTTAATTAGATAATTAATACTAATTACCCTCAATTAGTCTTGGTAATTAACTTTTCAGGTCATGTTGGCTTTATAATCAATTAAAATTATTTAAATCAATCAATCATTAACAAAAATGCTTTAAAACTACAAGAGAAAATTCGTCACTAATTATAGTAAAGTGGTATAAATGGTGTTTTTCTATATATAAAAAGCGATTGCAAAAATTAAAGTTGGCAAACAACCTATCATGTATTATAATTTGTAAACTAAAAGAAAGTTTCTTTTAAAACTTTCATGATTATTTTAAAACTCTGTGTGGGAAATCAAAAATTTTTTCCCCTCACTTATTATGTATTGCCAGATTGTTTTCATTTAACTGATAATTTACAATATTTTATAAATTATTTGGGGGGATGTAGTATTAACTTACGTACTGACATTTTAATAATACTTTATAGTCTTTTTCAGCTTTTTAATGTTTTAATTTAATCTTCTATTTTATTCAGATTTGATTAAGTTAACAATTAAAACATGCTAAATTGTTAAACCAATCCAAATATAGAACGAGCTTAGAACGAGTTAAAGTTTTTTAAAGATTTAAATAGAACACGACGATATTAAGTAAAACACATTTTTATGCTTGTATTTTTATATTTTAGTGCATAACTATTTTACTTAGTTTAAATGACAGAAATATATATATATATATATATATATATATATATATATATATATATATATATATATATATATATATATATATATATATATATATATATATATACATATATTGTTGGAATATATGTAACTAATAGATTTAAATATCAAGCTATATTTTTGAGTTAAAACAGCTCGATATTCAAGTAAAGCTTCAATTTCTTTTATGGGTTTGATCGATGTGTTGATTCATGTTTATTTTTCCACAGTGTAATGAGATCTTTAAAATTTGAACATCTGCTACGAACTAAGTATTACAGCTTTCCACTTTGTGATTTCCTATCAAATAATTATCCTTATAGATAACGCAATAAATAATTAAAAATAAAAAAATCACTTGTTTAAACACTCGCTGTTTAAACAAGCTCATTATTTAAGCTAGGAAAACAGTCAATTATTGGTAAATAAGTTCTGCTTTGTCAATAATATTGACTGAATATGTGACATATTCGTGGAGCAAATAATATTGACTGAAATTGTCACATATTCAGTCAGTATTATTTATTCTAAGTTTTCCATTTCAGCAACCATCTAATAATTGTTTGCAAACTAACCTTAAAGCTGATTAAAGCTGATATATATATATATATATATATATATATATATATATATATATATATATATATATATATATATATATATATATATATATATATATATATATATATATATATATATATATATATATATATATATATCAGAGAATTAGCATTTTGTGGATCAGACCAGAGAATTGGATCAAATCATAATGGAAATTTCTTTGGCCTTTCAGAATTACTATACGAATGCAACCCGTTTTTAACTAAACATGCAAAATTTAGGTAAACCAACGTAAAGGTAGTACTTCCTACTTATCAGCTAACATTTGCGAATAGTTCCTTGGCGATTCAGATTACCAAATAATTGGTAGTTTATATATATATTTTTTTTATTATTTGCAAAAGACATCAAATATAATGGCAATTCATTGGCGTTGTTTTTGGTTTAGGGTAGCAAACCTATCGGGATGGTTTTGTTCTAAAGCTCCCATCACCACAGTTTTTGAAAAGCATTTTTAATTTAGAAGTTTGCTCAATCCGTAAGTAATTATTTGTACTAATATCTTCAAAGAATATATATATATATATATATATATATATATATATATATATATATACATATATATATATATATATATATATATATATATATATATATATATATATATATATATATATATATATATATATATATATATATATATATATATATATATATATATATACTTACTGCTCTTACATTTTAGGTAGGGGTGGCAAACATAAATTATTTTTGTTTCCAGTCTCCAACCATTGCAATTTTTTTTCAAAACATCGTTTGACATAAACATACCTAAGTTTGCAAAATTCAATTTTTAGCTTTTACATTAAAATAAAATGCAGTTATTTTTGTTTAATGTAACTTTGTGCGGGATCAAATTTTGGGTAAAAGATTACTCGTCTGTCCAACAGCATCTGTAGAGTAGTCCAAGATTATCTGTATTTTATTTTTACTCTAACAATATCTAATTATTGTAGTTACTTCAGGAAGATGTAACTACATCTGGTAACTTTTCCTTAAGTCTAATACCATCTGGAAGAATTTTTTCTACATGTAACTACATCTGAAAAAAACTACATATGAAACTACATCTGGTTAAAATAATGCATTTATATTTAATTTTTTTTCCAGATGTAACTACATCTGAAAAAACCATGTATGAAACTTTATCTAATTAAAATAATGCATATTTCTTTAATTTTTTTTTCCAGAAGTAACTGCATCCGAAAAAAACCATATATAAAACTACATCTGGCGGAAGCAGAGGGGGAGGGGATTAGAGAGTCCTCAAATCTAAAAATCACCTGACTGAAATTTGTCAAATACCGGCAGACCGACTATATTTGACTAACTTGAAAATTTCATTATTGTGGGGGAGAGAGGGGTTCAAAAAACCTCCATGGAGTCGCCTCTAGGTACAGGGTTAAATTTCTGGTACTAAAATGTCTTGCTTTTGACAGAAAAAAAAATTAAAATAAAATTAATTCATTACCAAAATAAAAGTATATTTAAAGAATAGTTATATAAATTTTCTGTCCATGCACATATATATGAAAATAAATATCAAAATAAATTAAACTATGCGTCACTCAAACACTAACACTCCTGGAACACAAGTAATAAAAGACAAAAAAATAAAAAAATTATTCATTTTCTTTGTTATTGGAGTTTTTAAAAAAATGACTTTGAGTCTGTAACTCAACAAGAGCTACAGCCGATAACATACGTTTTTGATCTTCATCTGTTAATTCATTGTCATTTGCTTTTAGTACATGGCTATTGCTAAAACAATCAACTAGTTTGTCACAATAAGGATGCTTTAAAGTTTTATTTTGTAGCCGACTATTATCAAGTAACTGTTTTTGAATGGCTAACCCAGTTACTCTATATAAAGGATGCATAGGATGACGAGGACACTTTCGATTTGCATGAGTAAAAGAAACAGTGCAAGATGGAAATGAACATTGAAACGGTTTTTCACCAGTGTGCAACCGAAGATGTGTTTTTAGCTGTCCACTTTGTTTAAATTTACGTGTGCATCCTGGATAATCACATATGTAAGGTTTGATATTACTGTGAGTAAGCAAGTGCGTATCAAGAGATTTTTTTCGTGGAAAGCTGCGATGACATTCGGGGCATTTGTGTCTATGAACATTTTCTAAACAAAGTTTTTGCAGGGTATGGGTGCTAGGACGCCCTCTGGTTTTTGTCATATCAAAATTATCTAAAATACAAATTAAAAGATCATATACCATGATATTGCTCATTATTAGTTTTACATGATATATAAATGCATATATATATATATACATATATATATATATATATATATATATATATATATATATATATATATATATATATATATATATACATATTTATATCTACTATAGCATATTTATATGTGCAATTGCTCACTTTTTTTGCTCATCTAAATTAATATAGATTTTTGAGAAAAAAAAGAAAACGAAAATTAATGAATGAAAAGGTTGCTGACCCATCCCAAAACCTAACAGCACTCCACTGCGAGTCAGGCTATTTGTCAGTTGATGTATGTACTGAAGCCCCCAGCAGCACGCTATTTCAGTATGATGTCATCATGCTCACCTAACTCAGCAGTATAATATATATATATATATATATATATATATATATATATATATATATATATATATATATATATATATATATATATATATATATATATATATATATACACACATTTATAAATATATCCTCATATCGTAGTCGAAAGAGACTTTATGGTAAAAAAAAGTCTCTTTCAACTACAATTTTTATTACCTCGACTCTTAAGCTGTATTTTATTGTCGTCGAAATGTCAAAGCAAATAAATAAATGTGGAAGTACATTAAATTTTATTGTTTTTTAAAAAAACCACAATAATAATGACTAGAAAGTTTTTTTTCATTAAAGGTGTTTTTGTTATTGTTTTATTAATATATATTTTTAAAACATGCGCAGAGCGTTGCTACATTGACTTTCTTATAGCCTGCTGCTACAAGGGAGTGTTGCTGCATCGACTATCTTATAGCCTGACTTGCAAGGCAATGCTGCTACATCGACTGACAAATAGCCTGACTTGCAAGGGAGTGTTGCTACATCGGCTGAAGGTTTGGTTTGGGCAGGCAGTCTATCATTTAAGAAAATATATATATATTTAAGTTTTTATACTTTTTATTAACGTGCTCTTTAAAACTACAGTTTATGAGAAAAAAATTCTGACTACCATGCAAGACTATATATATATATATATATATATATATATATATATATATATATATATATATATATATATATATATATATATATATATATATATATATATATATATATATATATATACGTATAAATAGTGAAATAGTGCCAATGCGTGTGCTCAATGTTAAGCAACTGGTTCATTAATAAGTATAGATTTTTTTAAGTTCAGATGTGGCAGTAAAAGTGGATTTTTGTTAGTTGAGTCTTAACATTTATCAAATTTATTGATCTGCTGTGATTTTCTTTGTTTTTGTTATTTGACCTCAACCAAGCGGATTTTCATTATATTCTTATGATTGATAATATCACTGTTGTTTGACTCAACAACACTTCGTCAAAAAAAGGAATTTCATCTCATTACAAAATAAAATTCCAAAAAAAGAAAATAAAGTTTATGAAATATACAAATTTCATCCTCTTTTTTTGAAATTTTTATTTTATCAAAAATAGTAATAATAGTAAAAAAATATATTGTAATATTATATTTCTTCTTTAATAACAATTTCAATAATCAATAGTCATAACATAATTTTTTATGTTCAGTTAATTTTAAATAAAATCACACTTTATTTGATATTTACTCTATTTATTTTTGAATTTGTTACTTGTTCTACACATCTTAGTGATTATAATCATCATTTAGAATTAACTGAACATTAAAAAAAATTTATAGACTATTGATTATTAAAATTATTACTAAAGCAGTAATATAATATTATAATATATTTTTTCACTATTATTACTATTTTTGAGTTATAATTACTATTTTATTATTATTATTATAACTAGCATAACTATCTTTTAAAATATTCTTAATAAAATTATCTTACTTTTTTCATCAGGTATATCGACATGCAAGCATGGTAATAATTTTAAAGAATCTAAGGAATAATTAACTTTGGTTGGCAGAAATCTATCGTTATACCCATTAGCTTCTAAAAGTGACTGTAATTCTTGAATTGAAGGCACGTCGTTTGCAAAAGATTCTTTTTCATTGTAATTTCTGTAAGTTATCAAAGGAGATAGTACATTATTGGAAGGTTGAAAGGTCGGTAAGAACCAGCGCGTATTAGTTTGAAAGTCTTCCATTCCCTGAAATTCGTCCAAACTTTAAATGGATTAAAAACAAAGGCACTTTAAATTTCGGCGCTCGTTTAATTTTTTAAATAAATACTTAAAAAATAAAACTGACTTATTAAATTTTGAAAATATTTTATTATTAAAAAAAAAACTATATTTTATAATTTTGTTCAAAAACTTTATTTTAAAATATAATAATAAGATTTAAAAAAAATGCGGAGTTTATAAAAATATAATTAAGTAAAAACGAATTCAATTAGTCTGTAAAATACATTACTACAAAGTTATGTCCCTCATGTCTCTTAAACCTGGTTGCGAACGATTATTATGAAAAATAATTAAAATTAGGTTATACTTGTAAATAAAACTTACTAAACTATTAAGATGATTTTTTTTAGATATTTAAGATTATAGATATTTAAGATTAGATTTTAAACTATAGAAAACAAATTAAATGTGAATGTGATTGCATTTTTGAATACAATTTGCATTAAAAATATCAATTTTTATTACAATTTAATAATAGTATTAAAAATAAAAAATGATGCATATTTTTACCGAACTTTTTGTTTAATACTTTTTATGATATAAAGTTCTCAGTGCTGTAAGCATGCATACATGTATAAATGCATGTATGCATGCAATGTATGTATGGATGAATATATATGAAAATATTTTATTACACGCAAAATGTTTTATTACATGCAAAAACTTCAGATTATGTACAATTTATACATATCATATACATATTACAAGTAGAATTGATAACAAAAGTATATGACAATAATATAGATAAAATTTGGCGCCTTAACTTTTTTCCTACCAAAAAAGGATGCAAGCAATCTCAGTTTAAGTTGAGAGTTATTAGATAAAACAAAATTAGAGTGCAAGAAAGTTGATTAAAGATATAAAGACTCTAATGTTGATACTGAAATTACATTTACAATAAGTTTTTAGATGCTGTTTTAAAGAGAGAATGCATTATTAGCTTAAGTATTATAACGTTTCTTATAATGGTGAATTAGAGATTCATAGGGATAGAAAATGAAATTTTCTATAGTAGTTCAAAAATGGGGAGCTCAACAACAACAAAAAATAACCTTAGTAGTTGATAACTTTGCAATGGGTTGGGTATATAGTTTTCATGAAGAGTTAGTAGTGAAATATAATTCAAGAAGAAGACTCAGTATTGCTATAGAGTGTTGCCATTCAAAATAAGATATCAATATTGTGATAATTATAAGCAACTATCAACTTAATTTTGTTTGGGTTAAAATTGGGAGCCTTATATTTCTAAAAAAGAGAGATCACATTCAAGTTGTCTGATTAATATGCCTGTTTTAAGCGATCAATAAATGATGACTTTTTGTCATGACTATAATTTATAGTTATATCATCAACAAGAAGAGCAACTAGTGATTAAATTATCGGGTAGATTATTAGTATAGGCGAGAAACATTTGACCAGTGGTGGAGCTTTGTGGTGCCCCAAAGTATTAAATTTGTTTTTATTAAGCATTTTTTGCCTCAGTGGCAAAAGATGTTGTTTAATAAAAACAAATTTAATACCTAAAATCAAGAAAAATCCAAAAGTGCTCCAGCTTTAAATTTTTTATTTATTGGTTTCTTCTGTCCATGAACTCTGAAAATGTTGATACCCTTATGATCTGCTATAAAAAAAATTAATGGGATCGAATAACTTGAAACCTATTTTTATATTAGATTTTTATCCAGGAGTCTTAAAGTCCTTGCCTCCATTATACATAAGGACTCCAGCTTTAGAAATTTATTGTTCCTCTAACTTAAAGTTCTTAATTTTTTTCCCCCTAAAGTGGATACCAAATATCCAAACTATGTGATTTTCAAATGGAGTTTCTTTTTTAAGACTCTGCATCCCAACTTAATATAGAATGGTTTAATAATTTGAAAGTTTTTTCCAGATACACTATGTGAATCTTACGAATAGGACCAGCATGCCACATTTTATCTCAAGCCTTATGTTAACAATAATAGCTATTGTCTCATTGGTTCCATCTATTGCACAATATAATTTTTATGTTATTACAATTAACAAATCAGTAGTTGGACAAAACTCAGTTAAACACTTGTTAAATAGTTTATAAGTGCATTCTGAAAACAATTTTGTAAGACTCAGTGGATAATAAAATTTACTTATCATAATTAAAATTTATGAAATAGTGTTGAAGTACTAACTTTAAATGTTTTGAATTTAATTTTATGCTTCTGTAAGTACTACAATCAAATTATTTCTCTGCACAGCAGACTAATTTGTCACAGATTGTGTGATGGTGTTAAAAGTTGAGGCGGTTGTAATATTCTGTAGTGACTCCCTTGGCTTAGGGAAAGTGAATACATTAAAAAAGATAAAGTATATAACAGATATAAAATTAATGTGAAAATAATTATTTTTTTAATTTTCTGCAGATTTAAGGTAACGAAATGGATGATGAAGCAGAAGTTTATAAAATGTGGAAAATTCGAAAAACTGTAATGCAGGTTAGTTGCATAATTAAAATTTTTAAGTCTGAAATTTAGTTTTATGTTCATAAAAAGATAAACATGGATGGAAATGTTACTTTATAAAATTTTTATTTTTTAATTTAAAGATATATACTCTGCATCTTTTTTAAACTATGATATTTTAAGTGTCTAAATTTTTTAAAAATACTTTAGATTTTACAATTGAAGATTAGTTTTTAATAATTTTAGAGAAATGAGTATGTTCAAGAATTTAGCATTTATGCTTAGAGATTGTTTTTTTCATTTTGGTAATTTTATGTCAAAAATGTTAAAAACTTAAGTGTAAAAATTCTTTTTTTATATTTTTATAAGCAAGAGTTATTTAGTTAATCATTTTGAGAACATCATTGTATTGAAAAGAATATGGGTAAGCCGGAAATTTAGGAGTAAACAAAAAAGTTTGGTGGAGTAGCCTCATACCCTTTCTTCATCTATTAAGCCGGCATAGATGTAAACTTGTGTTTACTATCCAGATGAATGCTGGATATTCCTGGCTCTATTATTTAATGTTCATTTTTCCGAATATATCTGGAATTCTGGATAATTTCCTTTATCTTTTAGTTTTTCCAGATTTCCTTAAAGTTTTCTGTATACAAATTTAAACATATATTTTTGTAATAAATTTGTTTTTAACTTTTTCAGTCATTAACCATACAACAAACAAATGAAGTTTCAAAAAAAATTGAGAAAGCATATAATGCATATAAGCTAAATTTAAGCAAATGTAAGAGAAATAAATTTTGGGTTTTTTTCAGATTTGTTTTTGCAAAATGCTTTTCAGATTTTTAAAATATGACCTGGATAATCAATGCACACTCACTCTACCCCACGGTTTTTACTTTTAGTCAAGCCTCACTCTATATGGACTTGAAAATAAAAAAGTTTTTTGTTAATATCTCGATATATAATTTGTTTTAGAAAGTTTAATTGACTATAAAATTGTTAATAAACTTAATATAAATACTATACTATATAAATTAATAATAAACTAACTAAAACCTAACTAAACTAAAAACCTAATAACAAACTTATTTCCTAAGATTTACTTCAGATATGAATGCAACTTGTCTAAACATTTCATTAACAAAACCAAGTCTAGCATTCCATCTCTAAAACATGGGTCTGATCTTATTTCTCCCTGTGTTAAGGCATAAATATTTGAAATGAACTTTTCCTCAAATTTATCTCTTGAATCTAAATATTAAATTCTTCCATCATCACTTAGAAACAGGTTAATCAGTTGTTCAACATCCAAATCACTCTGACTTCCATTGCAAAAGCCATTAATTATTAAAGAATGGTTAATGTATGCTCCTCCTGTTCAAAGCTGCTTATTAGGGTTAGGAATATTTTTTTAGGTGATGGCCCTATAACTATCAGTGACTATCGGTGAAAGTTCAGAAGATAATAGTACAAGTGATGATTACATAATCCAATTAAAACCTGCAAAGATCACTGGTAAAATGGTAGCTAAGATATCTGAAAATGAAGGGTATCCAGTAAGTTGTACGGCAAAGATTGCAGTAGCTGTACTCAATGCGCTTGGTGAGACATCGATTTGCAGATCAGCATTCCAAAAAGCATCTACATCACTCGTGCATGAATTAAGATTGATTTGGTTTTATATAGACTCTTTTGAAGAAATATGGTACTTATTATTTTGGAATTTAATTTATTAAATAAAATTTCTGCTGTAATATGTGACACTACTGCAGTAAATACAGGTTCTAAAAATGAAGTAACTAAGCGTTTGACAAAAGATTTATCATCCTTGTTGACTTCATGTTCTTGACCTGATTCTTAAGTATTTTATGAACTCAAAGTTTGATTCCTTATCAATATCACCTAATATTGATTACTGGTTCATTAATGAGTTGATTAGTAGCTACCATGATTTAATTGAAAAATACAAGCCTAATAAGCCAGTTATTAAAAGTAAAAAATATGGCAGGAATGATTATACGGAGCTAGATTTGTTATGTAAAGGATACAAATCTTATCGAGACACAATGAATTTACCCATGATTCATTTTTCTAAACCAGGGCTTATTTTAAATGCACAATGGAATTTAAAAGCTATCTATTGCTTGAAATATATGCTTTTGACTCAGACAAAACAAGAATCAATAATAGAGGCATGCAATTTTATTGTAGATCACTTGGCCAAGCGATGGTTCTCTTGCAGAAGAATTGTTGATGGTATAGCAAAGTTAAAATTGGCATTAACTGGTAATTACCTAGAGTGTTTGGAAAAACACTGCGATATTTGGAATTATTGTCCATTAGAGATTGATTACACAAATTAAGTTTGCGAATGATCTCTTGCAAAAGTTCTCTTGCGAAAGTTAAATTATTTCTTCAAAGAAACGTCATCAATTTAGAGGCCAAATTTCTGAGACACTGTAATAAACTTTAATCTGCCTATGTGTGTTATTGTAATAAAATAGTGTTTGAACTATATTTATTTTCATGACACAATTTTCAAAGAATTATATCTAAAAATTTAGAACTCAAACAATATCTTTACTCCAAGTTACAAAGATTTTTATACCTAGTTTGTAAGCATGGAGGAAAGTCACGCTAGACAATTTGCAGGAACTGCGAATTTGGGGGCGTTTTTCAAACTTAGGGGTCCTTTTCCAAATATAAGGATTTTTTTTCAAGTAATACACATATCATCTCTTGTTTTATCAACCTGTTCCTTCATGCTCTAAAAACATTTATCAGGGTTTTATGTTGCACATCAATGCTTTGGAATTCTTCCCTGTCTTAATAGACTTACACAAACTACAGCTAGACTTACACAAACTACAGCTTTTCATGCATTCTACCAACCATTTTCTTCAAATCTAATTAGTGTTTTCAACTAAATGGCTGCAAGCCTTCGAGATTAAATTTCAGGATCTTTAATAAAATTTTAAGAAACATTTGCTTTGTTAGTGTTCACCAAACAATGTTTTACCCAAAGCTAAGGAAGAGTTTAAAATTTTCAGGTCTGAAATATCATTTATATTTTTGCAATATATCTTTAATGAATGCTGGTATTTCATTAAAATTGAGGAAAATCTCACTTATTTTATGCACTTAAAATACAGCAACACATGCATGCACTTTTTTAGTTATGCTAAAACTATTTTAGATAAGAATATTTATAATGTTAAAGTTATAATTTTAACATACATACTGTCAACATATCATTTTTTTTTAAATATTATAAAGTATCTTTTTTATTTTGATATATTTCATTAAAAAAAAAATTATTTACAAAAAGTAATAATTCACTGCAACAACATAAAACTAGGTCTGCCAAAAATCTTACCTCAGGTTAGGTTAGCATCAGTTAGGCGGGCATTGCTGAATGCCGACTCTAATTCCGAGAGTTTGATACATGATGCCAGGCATTATATATAAATAACAAATTGTAATAATCCTAAACTTTGAAGTTGTTATATGTTCATATAACAACTTCAAAGTTTTATTATATTGTTAGGCATTCTTGTATATAGTTCTATATCAGTATAAAGTTTTTAATTATGATCAGAAAAAAAAAATAGAGAAGGTAAAGAGGAAGCACATAAAAAGATTGGTCAAGGGTACCAAACCTGATTTCTTGACAATTAGGTGAATTGATGCATAAGTATAGGCCCAAGTGAAGTGTGCACAAATTAGAGTCTTTATGAATTAAAGGATTGTACCCATTAAAACTGAGATCTAAAGGAGAAACAGAAAATTTAAATTAGTCTCACGAAGAGAATGCAAGTCTGGTGAATTTTGCATGAGATAAAGTAAAACCGATGGAAGGTTCATGAAACCGAACTAGAATCGTCTAGTGGCATTTCAATATAATGCGCAGTCAGGCAAAGAAAACTTTTTCTTTTGACTGACCAGATATCAGCAGTAGTGCAAACAAATGATGCTTTTTTTCGGTTTGCTTCATATTTTTTCATGCATCCTAGAAAGCTTTGAACTAAAACGTTTTTTCAGAATCTTGTGACACATTATACTTACGTTAGGATTAAACCTCAAAGCAGTCAACAAAAAGCTGGTTTTTCAACCATAGCCAAAGAACGCATCTCTTCATAATCTGTAATTAAGTTGAAAACTTCTTCTTGCGATATAATATGACGTTGTGGTGAAAATTCTGATGCTGCTTCATGGTACGTAATTTGTTTAAACTTCTTACTAGCAGGGCCTTCATCAGCCATTTTTACACTACACTAGTCTTTCCTAGCTTACATTTTCTCTGAACATCTGCCTTATGTGCCTTAAAGTCTCCACATTACGTACACATAATAAGCATAATGCTGATATTTTGTTACTTTTTTTTTTATCTGGCTACAATTTTGAAAAAGGTAGTATCTACAATGGCTGGTAAAATTTCATTATTTTTATCAGTCATTTCGTTTACGCGGCTCATGGCAGCCATCTTTAAATTAGAATTGTTAATTGCTGCAGAATAACTTTATGATTACCCTAATGGAACCAGGTAGATAAACCATTGATATAAATAAAACAATAAATAATTCAAAATAAATAGTGGCAGAGTGACACTATGACATAACAGTTAGTTAAATTGTTCGTGTGTGGTGTTTTAGCGGTATTTGAGTTACAGGTATTTTCAATTATTACAAAATACTAATTAAAAGTATTTTAAGTACAAATACTAAATACGTTCAACAAAAGTATTTAAAATACAAATACAAATAAAAAGTAAGTAATTAAAATACTTAGTATTTCAAATACTCCCAGCACTGATTCAAGGTATCTTATTAATTATTGAAAAAATATTGTAAGTATTTAATAATAATAATAATTAAAAAAAACACTAAAAATATTTTTTACAGATAAAAACTCAAATAGAGCAAATCGATAAAATTATAAGATCTGTCTGGTCAATAAGTACTGCTAGCATTGAACGTGAAATATAATCTTCCATCATAAAATCCCTTTTATTACTTTGAAATGTACTTAATGCA